ATTTCTGTCGGTTGTCGCTGTTGCCATGTGTTGGATACGCGTTCGATAATGGTGTGTGTCGAGAAAGCAACAGAGAATAAGAAAAAAAGAATATTTTTTTCACCTTCGTGTGTCAATAAAGATCGCAACAAAATAAACCATCGTGAAAAATATCAATTAAAAGTGAGAGAACGTAAAAATATGTCGTTTCATGCAATGTTTATGTAACTGAAATAGTGGCGTCACTAGAGTAGGGCCATGAGTGGTTCAGCTGTACCATCAGAAGTTTGAGCCCTGCTACTCCAAAATTCAAGACATATTTTCATGAAATATTGAAAGGACTATTGCAAAATGATCTCTTTTTGGTGATTTCGAAGCGCCAAGAGAATGTATAAGTGGATTAAACAATAAATCTGAGTTGTACACAAAGCAATGGTGTTATTTCATAAATATAGCAGGTGTTGGCGAGATACAGATTCATTCTATTAAATAGTTCTTACCCGTCTTGTGAAAGTGAAGAAACAAATGAAATATTTTCGGCACTTTGCATATACTCGTTTCTATAGAGTAATCAAGTTTAAAAACCTAAGTCGAATAAAAATTATAATATCTTTCTTATAAACACTATGCTGGATGAGACTAAGAATAGATTCTAAAAAACAAAAAAATCAATAGTAACAACATCTATTTTCGATTTTACTTTCTGAGCTACAGTTATACTATCATCAACAGAATTGGCTGCTAATAATTATACTGATAGGATTTTACGGCAACTGAGCAATATAAACGTCGTCAGATGAGAAAAAAATAAAATGTTTGATGATCTGTTTAACACTTAATGTGAATGAACTACGAATGTAATTCTGATGTAAAGTATGAACAAGTCAATCAGCATTTTTCAAACATCGTAAAATTAATGGAACTGTGCTGCAATGCATTTCTAGGTTTTCGTTCTAATCTTTTCTAACTCGTTTCTCAGCAAGGTCATCTGATAAAGTTCATTTTGACCAAACATTTCAGTAGCGATAAATAACATTATTATTTTCAAGACTATTATTACAATGAGCACAGGTTCTTGAGCAACTATCACATTAGGTCAAGATCTACAGCCATTTCTCGCCCGAGCAGAACTTTAAATTTTACGTCCTAGCAGTTTTTACCAGCATTTGAGTCCCCAAAAATTCAATCCGGTGATTCAAATTACTACTTATATTAACAAAAACAGCTAAACCGCAAGTCGTTTCCACTCGATGCTTCAGTTAAAAAAAGCCCATAATCAATCAGTTTAAAAGTGCTGAGTAGAATTTCAAACCATTGTCAGATAGATATGTTCACGGTCTAGAAATTGGAAATTCATGGGAAATAAGTGAAATTAAGTATTTGGAGCATCTACATCACGATTGTATCTGTTAGTCTTTGAAGTTCCGTCAGTGGGATTGTGTGTGATAACGTTTCAAGATTCCTCATTGTAGAATGATTTGAGTTTCCTTGAATTCTTTGAATGATTCGAAATCTAAAAAATTCAAGAAAATCAAGAGGATTTCATTGCTTGAAGCTCCTAGATTGGGATTGTTCGTTTTAGTCTTAGAGACTTTTTCAGTGAGATTGCGATCCAGCGTGGGTGCGGATATTAGTTATATCGTCTTACCGACATGCACATCCACATCCACAGCTATCCTACACCCCACACTTAGACACCCACCTACACCCATCCTGGCGTGTTTGCGTAGAATACGCATTTGAATAGACATTTGTATGTTTGTGTAAAAAGAAAGATAAGCAAATGCAGAATGGCATGGATTGCTGTCTTTCGACAGTCGATTTTGTTCTAACTTCCGAATAAGAAAAAAAAATTCAAATCAGATAAAGTGTAGATAATGATATCATGACAATTTTGACGCTGACATGAAATATAGAGTTCAAGGATCAGTTGCAAAGAGTCAAAAACAGAAGTTTTCATTCAAATTTTGCTGTTTTATAGTTTTTTGATAGTATCCATTTTTGCCAAGATGCTACCATCGTTTTAAATAATTTTCTAGAGTACATTTTCGTGAATGACTAATGGTTCTTGTCGAATCGATAAATAGATGACATGTCGATGCATGATCTACAACCATCCAGGTAGACAAATATATCTGAGAACGATTGTAAACGCATAAAATAGCAGGGAAAATGCGTGTTTGAGTAAGTTTGGATGAACAGAAGATTGATAACAACACCTACACCCCACATTCACATCCTCATATTTGACCTTCGATAAGTGGTCATCTAGTTCAAGAATTGATTTCATGATTTCTTTATTAATTTTTAAAAGTTGAAAACATTACAGTATAATCATCCTCTTAATGCTTATAGTATATAATAACACAGAAACTGCCAATGAACATTGAGTTTGAGAAACATCGCGTAAAGAAGAAACTGATGTGAACTGATTTCTCTATAAGCATTTTATAATACCTTTCAGTAGGTAGCTAATCGCTTTCAGAGCCTTCTGAAATATTTTTAAAAGCTTCGTCAATTGACTTTGTGGATTAATACGTTCTACTTGCTCTTCAAGTAAACTTATATGTGATTGCAGTGATTCTAGAGTACTGCTGCGCTCGTGCAAAGATTCGACGGTTGTTGGCAACACTTGTAGTCGATTTCGATGCTCTTGAATTGCGTCGATACACTCGATGGCGAGAGGATCTTCGCCCAACACAGGATCTTCGTTTACAGCCTGATGGATACTGGACCACAACTGGTGATCAGCAGCTTGACATGCCATATATGTTGTCACCATTTCACTTTGCATGCCATGTAAATCATCAGCCAATTCGTCTCGTTGCTCGGGGCTGAGAATTCTACTGCAATGAACAAGTAAAGTGAAAATTATTTCAAAACGAATGGGTTAATGATGATAGAACAAGCTATCATTTAATGTTGTTCTAAAAGTAATGCTGTCAAGAAATTGTTAATCGTTGGCACAGAGTGCATATCGAAAGATGACTAAAGTAAAAAAAAAACATCAAATCATAACCTGAGACGGTTGACCATATTTCCACCGTAGCCAATGCTGCGGATAGAACTTTGCACTGCATGGTTGATATGAAGACCAATATTGCAAAACCTGTTTACGAGTGAACTTGCATAAGTTGGAACTTCTTCTGTTTCGCCACTCATTGTCAAGAGCAAGCCACGAGATAGTTCACAATCTTTCAGAGCGTCGTTGATCGCTGGAGAAAAAGTAGAGAGCGAACCCGTAACTGCGGCTGCATTGTTGTTAGTGAGCTGTCCACTCTGTGAATAGATTCATAAAGCAAAGTCTGATACATGAATAGTTACTAGCTTTACCATTTCATACACTGCTTCGGAAGCAAAGTGACCTGCTTTTTGACTGGCAACTATCTTCTTATATTTCTTTTGATAGCAAGCAAGAAATGGAGTATATGACACGCCTTGCTCTGTTTCTTTTTACCTTGAAGATAGAAACGAAAAAATAAGACTATATCGATGATAGCTTCGGCGAACTTCTATTCTCATATGATATGTACACAAGATATAGGTGAGTATGTGAAGTATGAGCTCAATAACAGACATCATGATGCTACCCATGTATAAGAAGATTAATTTTCTGAAAAAGAATTTATCATTTTCATTATAAACTGAGACTCACACTCAGTTGAATTTGTTCTCAATTTAAACAGTTTTCAAGTGCTCAACCATGTTTAACTCGCTTTTTAACAGATCAATAATGGTCTAGTAAACCTAGTTTTTTCCAGTTGTTATCCATTTGGTCTGACAGAATCCGATTGGACTTTCTGAAGAAGAAAGTCAAGATGAAAACGTATGTGAGAAAATTCAGATCGGTTTTGAAACCAACTTGCTAAACAGGTAGAATTGATTCGACAAAATAAGATTACACATACATGTCGGAAGTTTCGCAGAATGCTGACAATACACTTTTAGCAGTGAGGTTTATCTCGTTCGAGTCTTTTCTAAAAATTTTCGGTCCACTAACCAAACAAATAATTGACTTGTCATGGCTCGAGAGAGAAATAAAGAAATATTAATTGACCATTTTGCTACTCTTTATCTGATGATTCTTGCTGAATTCAAAGAAGAAAACAGATGCGGCAAACAAATCCGATGTGTTCCATCAGACATCTGTGGGTGTGGGGTGAGGGTCTGTCTGTTTCACCCACACCCTTAAAAATGAATTAATAGTGATATGGGGATTAATACATTGACAAACAACAGTTGATCAGTCAAAAATTGATTTAGCACAACAATCAAGCCATGAAAAAAAGGAAAAACCAAAATGCTTGTGTCAAACGTAAACATTTCATTCAATAAATAGCCACTGTAAATTACGTTCGAATGTAGATACAAGCACAGCTCAGTCTCAGAAACATGAGCTTCTCGGCATGTGAGCATCTGGCCATTTAGTCTAACATGAACAACAATATGAAAATAAGTATTTTTACATAAATCCATAATAAGATGAAAAATTTTCAAAAGAAATCTCCTTTTTGTTCTCTTAAAATAGAATCCTCTTATTGATTGGAGAAAACTAGTAATCGATAATTGTAACTGATCATCATATGAAACATGCTGAACGAAAATAAGAAAGAGAGAGAAAAAATGCCATTGTCTCATCCATTTATTCATAGCCAATTCAGACTAAACAAAAGTATATCATTGCATTTATTAACGATTAAGGTTCAATAGAACGAATGAGTATAGGAATATAAATATTGACACTTATAACTTGAGAAGAATCGACAAGTGATGAAGATAAATATGAAATATTCAAATATTCAATTCAATGATTTACCTGATGAAATTCTTATGATTATTTTGAAAAAAATTATACAATAGTGAAGTACTACTCTTTAATAGATGTGAATCGATGATTAAATAATATTGTACATGATTCAATTTTTACAAGTCATTTGATTTTATTAAGGTATTCCTCAATGAATTCAAATTATCCATTACCTTATTTAATGCTTCATCGATTTTGTTTACAAATATTACCTAAAATTCATGATAAAATCAAATGGTTGAATCTTGAATCATTGTCTATGAAACGTATTCTTCTTCCTACAAATTATTCTAATTTATATGAACTTGGTTTATATGATCTTGAAATAGAAAGAGTTAAAAATCTCATTATTAGTAAGATATTTTACTTTGTTATTAATTCCTAAACAAATAAGTGGTATAGAAACAATCAGTACCAGTCATTTAATTATGTATTTTATATAGTTGAGTAGATCGTTGAATACTTGGGATTTGTGGAATCACCTTATTTTTTGGTCCTAGTCTCAGTTAAAAGTTTTTATTAGTTCTGGTCGTATGACTTAGAAAACTCTCTCCGAGCTCACGGTTTTTGCATAGATGCAAAATCTAGATGAGTGATTTTCAAATGAGTGTTCCCTTAAGAGTCACTTTGATAATATCAAAATTTAGGATCTGCAGAACTATGGGTACCATTTATAGTAGAAATCTTCAAAAATGGTTTCAATTTCGGTGATTTTACAGATCTTTAGTCCGAACTCAATAATAAGTATGAAAATATATAGTCTAGTTCTTAAATAGATGATATATCGGGATGACTTGGAAGTTTTCAATGTTCTATTTTATTGCTAATTTATATTTGACAATAAATTATCAATAAGAAGAAAATCATTCTTATAGAAATTCATAGGAAGAAAGTAAGAATAGTTTGTCTTATATTAAAATTAAAGCTTTTGAAAAATATTTATTTTTCAATAATATATTGAAAAAGACTAAAAGTATCGATGCCATGATTTGATCAGTATTAAAAATGATTAAAGTTTTTATTTATTTATATGTAAGTGAAATTTCAGTAATTCATAGATTCAAAAATCACATTTCATCATTTTCTATCGATATAACTAAAAATGAAAAACTATGTTCACCAAGCTATAGCATTAAAATTTTTGTCTATCTTGAAATTTTGATGAATGATTATCATTTTCTATCTATGTTATCTTCGACTCTGTTAGAATTTCATGTCTGTTTGATGTACTTTATCACCGATTGTCTTTATTTACTTGATGATCGCTTCAATTAACTTTGAAAACTTTATGTTAACGTTTCTTTCATTTCGTTTTCGGGTTTAGCAATCAATAATAGAGTAAATTATTATGATTAATATTTAATTTTATCTAAATTAATTATTCAATAACATTCTTCTTGTTTCAAGAAAAATCTACCTAAGTTAAGATGCTTTGAACTGTATTCTAATAAAAGTACCAACGCTTATATCGAATTAATTGTACCACTTTTACATCGAATGTCGAATTGAGAAGAGCTCAATTTGTATCTTACAGTTGATGGCAAACAAACGGTAGTTGATGGTAATTATTTCAAGATAAATATTCTAAATTATATGTCACGATTAAACAAAATTGCATTCAAGATTTCCACAAGCATTCAGAGAATTTAAAGATAATCGAATTATTTCTTATGTTAATTATTCTTCAAGAACAAAATACGGTCAATCTCATATTTTTACATATCCATATAAATTGGCATACTACAATAATATTACACAAATAATTTTCCAGATGAATCATTTCAATATGTTTGCAAAATATCTTTACCTGATAAACATCCTTTTGAACATGAATCTTTATTCGAATTCAAGCATCATTTTCATTTGTAAAAAAATTAACTGAAATTATTAAATATTCTCATCTAACTCAACTTGATCTATTTCAAGCTCACAAATATTATCTTGAACAAGTTTTGCTTGATACAAAAACATGTTTACCAAATAATGTTCATCGTCATATTGATTATCGACCATTAAAAAAAGTATCACATAATTTTATAAGAGATGCAACACGAATTAATTGTTCGAAAGTCTGCATTGCATATGAAAATCATATTATTCGACTTCGAAAACATTTCAAAAACTATTTTCTTCATACATATTTACGTTTTCCATGATTATTCTTGATTATTGTTTAAATAAAATTAATTTCTATTGAATGAAGGTATTAAAATACAGGGTGTGGGTGAAGAGAAGGTCGACATCCACACCCATACCCTGCATAAATGTGGAAGATAAAGGCAACTAGAACAAGAGAGTGTTAGAACACTAGAAAAGAAGGCATAGGTAAATATACAGTGGTTATCAAATTTATCTAATAAGCAAGCGGAATTTTTTTTAATTTGGTTTATATTTCAAAAGTTACATGAGTTAGAACACTCTGCTTTTCGCTATAGCATAGCTCATGATTTCTATGATATATATGACTTTTTTTTTCTGACCAATCTATTTATCTATCAAGACTTTTTAGGCTCTGCAATCACAGTATCCCATTTCGCATCCTTTCAAAATTATTTAACAAGTTATTTTTGTCAGTCATTGTGGGTTTATTTTGATATAAAATTTTCTTCATGACATACTATTTGAAAGAGCAAAATCGTAGGAAAAATGTCAGAAAAGAAAACTTCACAAGACGATTTTTTTCCAATAATGTTTTGTCTATTTCAATATTTAACATATCATTAGAAAGCATTTAAAACATGGCATCAGATATTTTACCCAAATAAATATTTCAAGTGAATAGGCATAAAGATTTTTTAAATGAATGTAAGTTTGTAGAAAACATATTTTTCTACAAAATTTCTACATTTGAAATCAAAATTGATTGGACTTTCTAAAGTTACACAGCATAGTATCGCTATAAACAGCAGGAGTATATTAACCCTTTCAGTCCCAAATTATTTCTGCCAGATTCAATAAAACGTATACTGAGTAAATCACATAAGACCATAGGCGAGTTATTAATGCCATGCATTTATGTCCAAAATACAGTTATCTCATTCTATTACATTTGAAATGAGAGTTCATCGGACGGTCTAACGGTACACGGCGTAGGCA